AGTTTTTGAATCGCGAATTCAAAAATTATTTTTATCTAGTTTGTTCCTTTTTTTTAAAGATGAAGCGCAGTAAGCGAATGTTAAAAAATGTTGGTCAAGTTTGAGAGGATGCATGGGCCAAATGAAATTTTTTCTGGTAATTCCAATGGAATACTTTTAAAAAGCAAACTTTTCTCTTTAATTTCGTTTTTTTAATTTTGTTGTACAGTTTTTATTGGCCGAGTTATTCGTCATCATATGAGAAAAGGTACTTTCCACTTTGAGCGCCTGTAACTTGCGAACGCATGATCGTATAGAAAATTCCAGAAGTGATTTGGAAAGCTGAGAGATTTCTCTTTAAAGACCTTTAGTTGCCAATTTGTTGAAATTTTTGTTCGTCGTCTACAGTCCATTTCAAAATAACGTAAAATATTGCATAATTACCATTTTTCACAAAACACGATGCCATTTTAACAAAAATTGTGGAATCTTCCAGGTGTCTACGTTTTTTTTAAGTTAAAAGTACACGTAACCCCTGTACCAAAGGCCGCATTGATCAGATTTTTTTTACCCTGTGCCCTCGATAGTGAAACTTGCGATACAGTCTGAAAAATTGGTGAATGACTCTTTTGCGGCACGTTTCCTCTTTAAAACGATTTCGCAGCGTTTGAACTGTTGTGGTCTGTGTCTTCTTAGTTTCACTTTATTTTAGAAGAAAGTAGAGATGTCAGAAATTTAGCAAACACATTTTTATACAATCTCTTCGCAATGACAAAAAGTGAACAATGCGAAGTGACGAGAGGGTGCAGATGGTGTGCATATCCTACCCTTTCTTAGTTATTGCGATAGATACACTCTTCTTTTTTTTTACTGAACTTAATTTGGTTTTTTTTACCGAACTTCTTCCGTTCCATTGCATGTCCTCGCTGTGTAATGAGATGAGTACCTTGGCATCTGCCAGCGAGACGTTGGCTTGTAACGTTAGTACTGCGCACTGTCGGTAGGTGGCCGCGGCGCCGCGACGATTCTCACAGTTGAGGTTTGTGAGCCACAACTTGATAAGACGAACCGCGAGCGTGAGTGGGTACTCATTAGAACTGGTCTTGCAGTAATTGCATCACGGATTTTTTTTCTTCTTTTTAGCAATTCCATTAAATCCTTCAGTTTCCTCCTCTATTTATTCCTATCGAAATTTTTTTCTTAGCAAATTTTTCACACCTTTTCTCTTTCTTTAAGCACTTTATTATGCCTAGACGTCACCTCTCTGATTACGAAATTGGTCGACTGGTAACACTTTTGCAGGAAGGTTGCAGCCAACGACAGGTTGCTAATGTTCTTGGTGTAAACCACTCAGTTGTGAGCCGTGTCTATGCTCGATTTAGAGAGACTGGGGAGTATGTCCGTAGATCGGGGCAAAGACGCAGACGCGCGAGAAGTTCTCGAGACGACAAAGCAATTACGCGACGTGCTCTTCGGGAGCCCTTTGTTATCGCACGCACTATTGCGGAACAAATTTCGAACCGCAGGCAAAACCCGCCACGCACGATCTCTAACAACACCGTGAGGCGTCGATTGAGGGAGGCTGGCTTACGTTCGAGGCGCCCGGTACGAGTCCCGTTGCTAACTGCTAGACATCGACGGCAGCGTTTAGCTTATGCTCGTCGTTACATACGCTGGTCTCAGCGTCAATGGACAAATGTCCTTCTTACAGACGAGTCCCGATTCTGCCTCCGAGGGAGCGACCGACGGGAACAGGTTTGGCGTCGTTGTGGCGAACGTTACGATACCAATCATACAAGGCCGATCACCGCGTTCCATGGGGCCGGAGTATCGCGGTATTCACGTACACCGCTAGTTATTCTTTCACGTGGTGGTTTGACCGCCATACGGTACGTGGACGAGATTTTGCGCCCCGTTGTGCTCCCTCTGCGTCAGCGTATGGGCAACCGCTTTCTGTTTATGCAGGACAATGCAAGGCCCCATGTTGCACGCTATACGCAACAATTTCTTCCAGAAAATCGAATACCAGTTCTTGACCATCCACCAGTGTGCCCAGATTTAAATGCCATTGAACATGTTTGGGATATTCTTGGGCGTCGGTTGCGATAGCAATACCCAGACTTGGCGAATTTAGGGCAATTAGCGCACGCCCTCCGCCAAATTTGGCGAAGAATACCACAGTCAATCATACGGAGGTGCATTAATATGCGCAAACGAT